TCCTCTCATGCTCTCTTCCTTCCTTGAACAGCATATACAGACGATCAGGCCAAAGCCAAGGGCTCTTCTGTCGCTCCTGGATTAGATCACTCATCCTAAGGGCAAAACAATTACATCATGTCATTGCTTGACCAAAACAAAATAAAATGACAGCACATCTTCAAGAACCAAAAAGAAGTTCTACCTCCCTCAATGAAATAGAACTTAACGTATTGTGTGAATTTAAACCCATTCATGTGAAAGGAAAGCTATTCAAATTTACTGAGGGTACATTCAATTCCCTTGTCCAGGTCATTGATAAATATATTAAACAAGATGGGTCCCAAAACTGAGCCCTGAGGGACACCGCTTGTGACCTCCACCTGCGACTCCTCAGACCTCCCTCCTGGCTCACAGCACATGAACTCCTGACACCATCAGTGTCAGCTCCAGACCAGCTACAAAGTAGCTGAGCACTTACCTATAGATAGCACGAACATACTCAGAATCCTTATTCTTCTGAGCGTCCACATTTTTGCCCATTGCCGTTTCTAGGAGGAAGAAATCAGCAACGGTTCATGAGTGCAAAGCAAAATGTCCAGTCCCTGTGCACAACAGGTTACTACTGCTCCCAGCCTCTGGCTGTCACCACACCGTCCCTTCAGCAGGGAAATGCACACATCCCTTGCCAGATGGCAAGCTTGCTTTACATTTTCATGCCCAGGAACCCTGCTCCTCAACACAACCTCACTTCAGATTGCTACCTCTGCCCTGCCCGCCCCACAAACTCACCTGCTCAGGTGCACACAAGACACCCTAGGAGAAAGGATGGCCTTGGGAGGATGGAAATGCATTCACAAAATACCCAGGGACATTCTCCTTCAGCTCTCTCTCCTCACACAACATGGCACAGCTGTACTCATCAGCCCGTCCATCCTTCAAAGCCCTGCCACAATAACCAGAGAGGACTTACCACAGATGATATCAAGGGCACACAGAGTGACATCTAGAAACACATCAAATGGTTCCTTGTCAGCATGCTTCTCAAGTTTCTCCAGCAAAATACGTCCTTGTTCATTCATAACCTCCAGAAAGTCGGTTAAGATTGCAAAGTGGAACGTGGGAGTTATCATCTTCCTGCGCGACCGCCACTTGTCTCCAGTGCTGCAAAATTAACAGGGAGACGGAAGAGTTAAAAAGTCCAAACCAAAACTAAAACTCTCACTCTCAGGTACAGGAAGCACACAGTGCACACTGCAGCCTGGAACACCTTCACAGATGAACACACTGCAGATGACTCTTCAAACTGGCCATAGCACTCCCCAGAAGGAGCAAAGTAGAAAGCTTTCTTGTTCCAGCTCTCTCCAAAGCACAAGCCACCATTTCCATCATTGCCCTCAAAAAAAGAGAGGCCAACAAGCCTTCAAGAAGTACAGCCTTGTGGTTGCTCAGCACACAGGCTCAGAGAAATCAAGGCTGATCCTGCTGGTTTGCAGCAGAACCAGCTGTCCGCAGACACACACAGTATTCCTGTCAGTGAGCCTTCTCCCTGACATATACCCTGCAAATTTCAAAAAGACAGAAATGCACCTGCATTTCACTCTACCTTGTCAGAAGTCCAGTCCCCAGCCAGGGGTGAAGGAATTTGTAGAAATATGATTTTTCTATATGTTTTGAACTGCTCAGAATAATCAAGTATGACTTTTCTATATGTTTTGAACTGCTCAGAATAA